TGTGGTTGTTTCGAGCCCGCTGTGGCGGGTCGGGGCTGCAGCCCCGCGCTCCTGCTTCCCCYGCCTGGGCTGGGGCTTCCCGGCACCTTCGCCCCGCAGCGGGGACGGGGACAGCGTACGTGTGACTTTTGGTGCCGTAACCCCTTCAACTGTAAGGCAACCCCCCTCCTTTCTTGCCCCCCACCCCAATAAAATCTAAACGAATAAAYGTAGCGGTGTCCTGTCCTCCTTCCCCCCTCCCGCCTCCTCTTCCTCATGGAACTTTCCTGCGGAGAGTGAGGAACGGGGAAATATTTCCTGGGGGATCCCAGCAGGATGGGGATGTGTGTGATGAGTTCGTGAGTGCTCTGGAGGGGGGGATCCCCCGCCACTTCTGCAGGTGCGGGCTGGGGACCCTCTCTTGCGTTAATTAACTCTTAATTGGTCACTGATTTATTGGTGCCCCGTGGTGCCGATGGGACTCACGGGACGGGCGAGAGCTGCCCYCAAAGAGCAATTTCCCCCCCAGGACTGGTGGGGCAGCCCCCAAACTCGGGAGCCAGGGGTGGGTCTCGCTGCTGGCGGTGGGGTGCCAGGGCCACTCGTACCCCCAGCCGGACCTGTGTCCCTCTGGGCAAGTTCGGTGCGMGCCCTGCCAGCCCCGGCTCCCGCCCGTGCCATCCTCAGCCGCTGCCGGCGCGGTCCAGCCGGGGAAATCCGGGAGATAAATTGTTTCTCCTGACAATCTCCCTCACTTTTCCCCCATCCCAGACCTTCCCCTCGGTTGTCGGGAGCTGCCTCTCGGTGCTGGTGCTGTTTCTGCTCTCACAGGACCGGGGATGCGCGGACCCGCGGGGCCACTGCTCCCCTGCTGGGCCGTGGATGCGCGGCTACGGGAGCATCCCCAAATTCCCACCATCCCCAAATTCCCACCTTCCCCAAATTCCCACCCTCCTCCTTGCGGTCCCGCAGCAGTGTCCTGGGAGCTGCGGGGCTGTGCCGTGTGTCCCCACCCGCGGTGTCCCCAGGTGGCCCCGAGGCAGAGGGGACCGTGGCGGGGTGAGGGCTCCACGCGGCCGCTTTGGGGAGGGTTTCACGCCCTCTCCCCGGTACCCCCTGCAGCATCCCGATGGAGAGCGGACGGGGCTGGCACTGCGGTGCTGCGGCTGCGGTGGGAAAACAGTGGGATCAGCCCCAGGAGCCACCAGCGCCAACGCCGCGCGTCCTGAAAGGGTCGTGGCCACGGTTCCCGCAATCCCGGTGCAACGGGGAGCTATGGGAGGGGGTGAGTGCAGCTGAGTCAATGTTTGGGSATTTTTCTTTAGGAGGTTCTTTTCCTTGTTGCCTCCTTATGTGTGTATATACAGTTGAAAGATATGCAAGCATTTGTAAAACAAAATCTCTACACCTGTAAAATGATTGTTCTCTTCTGCAATCACCGAAGTGTGGCTGTTCTTTTTGAGGGAGTTTGAGGGAGGCCCATGTGTGCTGGGTCCAGGTGCAACAGTCTGTGCATCCCCAAGCCCTTATTTTAAAGGGGAAAAAGTTGTCACAGCCCTCCTGGGGCTGAGGAAAAAAAATCTGTTCTGGGCACAGAATGAACCAGAGTTGCCCTCCCAGATTTAGTGAGAACATGAGAGAGAAGATCCAGCAGGTGTATAACACACAATCCTCCAGACGCACACTTTTTGTCTTCTTAAAACAAAGATGTGCCCTTCATCATCCCCATAAAATGAGTTCGGTAAATCAGTGATGCTGAGAGACGCAGCCAAGAGGGGAGCCTGAATTTTGGTTTTGGAGGCTCTTCATCCAGTGCCTCACGGTGGGGCTGGGCTTTGGGGTTTGGGGTCTGCTTTGGGGTTTAGGGCTCCAAGGGATGCTCATGTCCCTTTGATTTATCTCCCTGATTTAGGCACCAGCAACATCTGGTGCCTCTGATCAGCGGCTTGTCCAGCAACTCCCTGGATTTTGGGCATTTTCCTGCCCCACCCACACAGACCCGAAGCACTGATATTGGCTGCTGAGCCCAGCTGGCATCAGGGGCACAGAGGTGACCTGGTCCAGATSACATCAAATCATGGCCGTGCCCTCAATGCTTGCCTTCATTTGTTTAATTTTTATTTTTTTTTTCTGTCAGTGCCATCAGGGTGGGTAAGACGTGGCTTTGCGCCTGTTGGTGGGCGAATATGGGCTGGGAAGGGTCGTGCCTCCCTGCCTGGCTTTGGGGGATCCCAGCACCCTTCCTGCCTGGGATTGGGGGATCCCAGCACCTCCCTRTTTTGGAATCTTCTCCCACCGAGGGCTTCCTCAAGGCTGGAGCAGGCAGTGCCACACGGAGGGTGAGTCACGGCAGGTAAGGTGGCACCGCGCCTGCTGCCCGGCTCAGGGGCAGGCGCCAGCAGGATTGCCAAGCTTTTTAGGGCAACCCGGTTCTGAGACAGCTGCCTTCTTGGCTCGAGCCTCACCTCTCCAGCAAGAAGGCTCCTGGGTGCTTGGCTACCATCATTATTATTATTTTTTTTTTTATTAAAACCGTGTTTGCTGCTGGTGCAGGGAGCTGCCAGGGGCCAGGGGGCTGTGGCCACAGCACCCAGGGCTGGCTCACCCAATTCCTGCCTCTGCACAGGACATGGGTCTGTCCTGCCAGGAAATGAAGGGCCAGGATTTGCAGTGAGAGGGAGGAGGAACAGAGGGGAGGACATTCCCCAGCTTGGGTTGTCATCACTTTTAGGCTGGTGCTTCACGGGCCTGGGATAATTGATGATCTATTTGCTGCTATCAGAGCATTTGCTTTGCTGTTAAACGGAGCTGGGACAGGTGACAATGGGAACACCCTCAGCGGGCCATGTAGAAGTGAGCAGAGGTTGGACAGGGCCACCAACTCCTCTTTTGGGTGCAGGACACGCTTTGGGATCTCAAACCGTTATGGTTGAGCATGGCTTAAATTACTAAAGAATTCCAACCAAAAATTCTTTTTTGAGTTTGACAAATCATGCCCACTAACAGGACTTTTTACAGTCRTTTTGTAGGCAGCCTTCCTGGCAGGGTGCAGAGAAAACAGGTGATTGCAGCTGAATGAGGAGCCGCTGGTTTGTGGTTTTCCCTGCGCTGACCTCGGCGTTAGCCAGTCGCTGCTAATTCATACACTTGGAGCGGCAATTAATGCATGTAAAATCCCATGTCGGTTCCAAACCTGTTTKGATTTTGTCAGCAAAGAGTCTGCAGGTGAACCTCCCAGCTGAGGAAGTTGCTGTAGAGGAGAGCTCTCCTTTCATGTCACACAAAATGCTGTGGGGAAGGAGGAGGGTGAAAATGGTCACAGGGCTGCAGCCCAAAGGGAAACATTTGCCTCTTTCCAGTTAAATCCCTATTCAACACCTTTTTTTTTTTTTTTTCTGGGTAGACAGGACTTTTCCAAGACCACCATGTGAGGATTTTTTTTTTTTTTTTTGATGAAAAACTGCAATTTTAGGAAACGGCATTCTGGACCTTATGTACATTTCTAGTATCACTTCCTGTATATTTTTAAGCTGAAATCCTCTTAGCATGCAAAGTAAATAGATTATGATATACTGAAGGATTAAGAATCACTGTCTGGTGTCAGATTAATCCCTCATATAGACCATCACTTGTACTGACAGAAATATGGCTGCAATTCAGCAAAATAGCTGTATGGTGAGACGATGTGCCGCAGCCTCTTAGGCAGAACGAGCCCCCCATCACCGCGTGTTTTCCAGAAATTCAATTGCAATCCGCGGGACATTAAAGGCAGCTCCTCCATGAGCTCGTCACCAGCTCCGTGTGGGGAGGTGAGGCAGCAGCTGCTCTGTTTCAAAGCTCTCTCTATTTATTTTTCCCTGTTGTGTGTACAAAACCTTATGGATAGCAACCCCTTCGCTGCCTTCAAACCACGAASCGAAGCGGCTCCTTGGAATAAAATGCGTGGGAAGGTGCGGATTGGGATTAAGTGTGACCAAAATCACCCATCAGGCAGCAGGGTTTTGCCTCATGGGAGAAAACAGATGCAAACATTTGGGCAAAAGCAGAATTTTTGTTAATAAAATACTTCTAATGGCTTGTAAGTTTTGTTTCTTTTTTACATTGTGCTTTTATTTCGAGTCCATCGTACAGATTTGTTCAACACAGACAACTGATTTGAAGAAGCTACCTGGTTTTGGGTTTCAACCATCCAGCTCTCCCCAAAAAACTCAAGTTTAACCCACACACGTGCCCGKGATAGAGCCCAAAATCTCYGTGTCYGTGGATTCTGYGGGAGGAAGGACCYGCAGTGATGCTCTCCCCTCTTCAGYGCCAKRAGAATAAAAAGAGAGGGCTGGCACAGGTTACRTTGCCTTCTCAGTGCATTTTCTCTTTGTGGTTAGAGGAGGCAGATTAAAATCTGGACTCCAATGGAATGATGTTTAAGAGGCTCCGCATMTTTTTTTTTTTTTTCAAGGCAAAATAATGGTTATTCAACTAAGATGATATATCCAGATATGAAAATTGAGAGCATTCTTTGAAAAATGCTGCCGACTGTGAAAGGCTGCTCTTTCACAGAGGTATCCYGAGTGAAGATCTTATCTGCTGGTATCTCAATAGGACGGTTTTCAGAGCCTTAAGTGGAAATTCAAATCTGCTTCCAAGAGGAGATTGTAAAAACATATAATGCATAGAGAATTACAGAGTTTCTCCCGAAAAGCTGATGGATTAATCCAAGAAACACCCCCCAATTTTTCAGCATTGAGTTTATACAGTAAATGGGGATCTGAAATCACTCGCTTTTTTGACATCTTTGATGAAAATGTCACCAAATTGCCCTCCATAAGCAAACACTTTGTGCATGGACGTGTCCACATGAGCTCAGAAATAATTTGGAGGTCTCRGGGCAGGATGGTTTTTAAACCTGGTGTTCTGTCATCTGCTGGTGRTCAGACCCAGGGCTTGCTGGAAGCTTTCTGAAGGATTTCCCCTGAACTTCTCCACCTCGGTGAGGTCTCCTCTGCTCTGCTTTGGCAGCTCAGTCACACCAGCCCGAAGTGCACGATTTGGAGAGAGCCGCTGTCCCCAGGCTCCTGTGGGGGAAACGGGCAGGATCAGGGGGGCTGCAGGGAAATACAGGTATCAAAATGCCACCCCAACCCAGGGAGAAGAGACAGACACTGCCCCAGTCTGCCTGGGAGTGAAGGATGTACCCCAAAGTGATGAGGATTGGATTGTTGTTCAAGGTGAGACACTTCTAACCTGTTTTTAATCCACTTCACCACTCCCTGCCCATGCTGTTCCTGAAAAAACAGCTGCAGCTCCAAGAACTGTGCATGGTGTCCCCTGGGATGTGAGGGGTTGGAAYCCGAGGCTCCACCTGCCTTTGAGACCCCTTACCTGGTGCTTGGAAGCTGACAGGCAAAAGTGAAACTTTAGATTTTTGTTACYTTTTAATGAAAACATCCTGTGAGCAGCACAAGGCTGGGTCACTGCCAGCGTGTGGCTGGCCAGCTTTTAAAGTGAGGATGGCATTTTTTGCATTCCTCACACAATGCAAATGTGTGATTTCAGCACAAACCTCCACACAGCCCTCTTTTTTTGCAAAGGACATGACGATGGGGAGAATGAGTGCCACCAGCAGAGGTTATTTCATAACCCGGGCTAGCGTGCCTGCGAAATGCATAAAATGCTTTGCCTTGGAAAGCGATGCAGTCTAGTGAGTCATTGCTTTCTTTTGAATTACAGATGAGTAGCCAGCCCTTCATGATGCAAAGAAAAAAAAAACAAAACTAGGTGTGGAGCTGGAAACAAAAGGAAACGTGTGTTTGTCCTGTCTCAGAGGGCAAAGCACGCTGGCTGGCGTGGGAAGGGGTGGTGGGATTGGCCCCGGGAGGGCTGCTGATGGTGGACAGGATTCCTGTGAGAAACTCCTTGACTTCAGGAAAGGTGGAAGAAGGATTGTCCAAAGCCTTGAGGCTTCATTAGAAACCCTAACCAGAGCAGCAGCTCCATCTCATGGCATGCACACTCCACCACAGAGATAGAGATCTCCCTCCAAAACAGAATTCTCTCCACAGCCTCCCTACTCCAGCAGTGAAAGTGCTCCAAACAAGCTCTGTGTGGACACAGAGGTTTCCAGCCCATCCCTCGTGTGGAGATGGTGAGAGCTGGCCCTGCCACTTGGAAATGCTTGCAGGTATTTTGTAGATGATAAGAAAGTGTCCCCAATGTTCCATCCAAAGCAGTGCTTGCATTCCAGGTTATTCCAATGTGGAAATTCAAAGCACAGCTTCACCAGAGAYTTGTGCTTAGGCAGCTCTCTCCAGGGAGGTCATGAGGTGCCTCTCTTGGTAGCAGCTGTGGGTATGTGCCTTGGGGTTTGGGTGGCTTCAAGCTTTCCGTGGACTCTCCTTGCTCTCCAAAAAACACTTGTTGGAAGCTTCAAAAAATACTTTTTTTTTTTTTCCCAGTAAAGCCCTGAGCAGCATCAGTGACTGAGGGTAAGGAATAGGTGTCTCTTCTGTCCCCAGAGCTGTGCCAGGGCCTTATGCAGAGGGGTTTTTGCTGGTGGCTGCTCTGAGAACCAAAAGAACAGGTGGGCAAGTGAAGGCAGGCTGGAAAAAAAAAAACAAACAACCAAAAAACACACCACATTGGACCATTTAAGAGTTCAAGGCTGTTTGGGTAGGTCCTTGCTGCTCAAGGTGCAGGATCCTGAGTGCATCAGGAGCTGGGGTTTGTGATTTGGGATTTGGGGTGAACAAGAACCCACCAACTTTCTTTTTTAAAAAAAATTCTTTCTGAAAAACCCTATTTGCAATTTGTGACCCCTCTGGTGACACTGAGGCAGAACTGGCGGTGTCACATGGGAAGCCTGTGATGTGGCACGAAGCTCATAGAGATATTTAATGCTCATCAAAGGCTGAAGAGTGGCAATGGCTGCAGCCCTCCTCTGATATCTGCATCTTCTCTGATGCAGCACTCCGACAATAAAAGATGCCGTAATAATTTGATGAGAGTCAATTTTCATTGTGCAGGAAGCTGTCCAGGAACAGGGGCAGCCAGCCCTGCTGGTAATGAGCTGCTCATCACCCAGGGAAGGGAAAACATGAATATCCTGACAGGAGAGCATCCACTTGTGCCCTGCAGAGTTGAGACCGTGGGGCTTTCCACGGTAATGCTGCGGTCCCGCTGGGGCAGGCGAAGGGAGGAGCGCTTCGGGAAGGCACACCCTGTAATTGAAAAGCCACAAAGTCATCTCAGACCTGCAGGGGTAGCAGGATGGAGGCAGTGGTTTGCTCTGTCTCCACAGGTCTGAGGCAGAACAGAGGATCCTTTTGGTCTTCCTGAGTGGGAAATCCAGAGGAGCCTCTTCCCCGTGCTGCGCGGTGCTCCCGGGAGGCAACGCTTTTTCTCCTGGGATTATTCTCAAGGGCATGAGGAAGGTGGGAAAGRACAAGAGTGGGAGAGAGGAGAGTAAATGAAGGAGCCCCGGGAGATTATTTTAAACACCTCCTTTATTCAGATGAAGAGTGCCAGTTCCAAGCCTGTTGTTAGGATCCATGGGTTCTGCTCCTTTTCGCTGTTTCCTTGTTTCCCTTGAACAGCATAACATGAAACCATTCTGGATGAGAGGTGTTTGGGTGAGTGATAATGGATTCAAAATGCCATTTGGTAGCCAAAAGGAGCCACTGGATTCAGCACCTGGAATTGCCKGGAGATCAGGCTCTGGCCCAGGAAAAAGAGAGCAGCTGAGATTAATGCTTTCTAAAGGGTCTTGTCGGGCCAAAGTAGGTGAGCAGGGTGTTTGGAGCCCTGCTTTCACTGATCCAGGTCTGGGTGCTGCTCAGGATTATTGAATTATTCCCAGAATAACCTCTGGGACCATCCTGCCCAGAGCAGCGTGGCCAGGCTGGKCCTCAGGGAGCACCAGGCCACCCAAATGTCCCCTCCAGCCTTTCCTGGAAGGCAGGATGGAACAAGAACACAAATCCTGGCCACTCCAAACACTGAGGATGGGATGCTCATTTCTCATTTGCTTCAATCCTGTTGCCTGAGGAGCCTTACCCACACCAGCCATGCTCAGGCCAGGGAAAGCTGCAGCTTGTCCTCGTTCCTCCAGCATCTGTCCCCATCCTCATGCTCAGTGATGGGATCCTCCAAAACCATTCTGTGGTCTGCATTTGTCCTCCCTGCCAGCTGAGGAGCCACCATGGGGCTGCAGATGGGATACAGGTGACCTGTGCTGGTCCTGGAGGGACACAGGACTCCCCCATGGTGACACAGTCTTGCCTCTGAGCCACTTCCAATGCCTTCCTCCAGCAAACAAATCTGGCTGAGCAGCTCGGGCGCTGCTTGGCTGTGTGACAGCCAGCTGCTCTGCCAGGTCACCGGCAACAGTTTGTTGCACGATCTCTGCAGTTTCAGGGAGGAGAAGCTTCCTCATAGCTGAGAGTGGCAGCGAGTGAGGAGTTCACACGCTGGGATGCACCTACAGAAAGTCAGAGCCATCGCTGCCGAGGCCACTGTGGCCATTTGTGCCRGGAGCAGGGCACCTYTGTCTCCAGCCTTCCACCAGGAAGMTGGCAAAGAGGGCAAAGCAAACCCTGCAGCTGCCAGAGGATGTTCCTGCAGAACTGCAAGAAGGGCCGGGTTTWGGGTGTGCTCCCCTCGGGTGGCACCGAGCCCAGGATTGTGCCTCACTGAGGTAATGCAGGGAATGGTGTCAGGGGGAAACAGCGGGGTCAAAGGACACTTTGGGATGTCCAGAGGAAGAGCTGCTGATGGTGGGCTCAMCCTGGATTTGGGATGGGTTGAACTAAAGCCACGGTTAGTCCAGCTGGAAGGGTCTGCTCTGATCTGCCGGGTGCTGGGATCCAGCTGCTCTTCTGAATTTCCACGTGCCACTAAACGTTGATGGGATCGTTTTCACAGAGGCATAAGGTTGGTGTTACATGGACGGTTTTTCTTCTCCAAAAGAATATGGATGGTTACATGGATGGTTTTTCTTCTCCTGGTGTGCAGCACTGGCTCCCCTCACCCTGGAGCCATCTCCCTCTGCAGCCCAGAGCTGCTGCTTCCCTTCCCCAGGTCTGGAGCAGCTCAGATGGGGGTGCCCCATTTTCCTGGGCACACACAGCCCTGTGCTGTGTGCTGAAATCAGAACATCTCCTCCCAGCTCACAGAGTTCACACTTGCACCCACCAGATTCTAGCAATGGTGACCATTCAGCTGCAGGAACTTTTCAGAACCAAAGAATYCTTTAACCACTTCCCTGGATAAATCCTTAATGATGTGATGGCAAAGCTTTCTTCTGTGCATCCTGTGTGTTTGGGCCAGTGGATTTCATTGCTGTAGTCCAGAGATTTCAAATCAACTTCTCAGTTTATTAATTCAATGTGAAGACAAGGAGCTCCAGGGAAGGATCAGWGAATCCCAGGGATCCCACCGATGTCTCCAGACCATCACTGCTGCTGTGCTTCATTCCCTCTGTGTCCTGAGGACACCCAAATCAGGAAAATCACCCAAAAGGCCGTCAGGGAGATCCTGTGAGAGGAGGATTCCCCAGCAGTGTGACACAGGGAGCCCTGGCACTGGTCCCCAGGCTCTGCCCATCCTCCACCCAGCGCCAATGCACAGGGGCCCGCAGGAAGCTGCAGAGGTGGGGCAGCTCTGTGTTCTTCCTCAGTGCTTCAGGACTGGTAGAACAGCTCTTAGAGCACAATTTTACTTGGCACAGGCTGGTTTTGTAATGAAAGAAATAAATAAGTGCCATCCTGCTCTGCTGGGAGGTTGAAGTGTTTCCTTTCTTTTTTTTTTTTAATGATCTGTTTGCACTGAGGCCAAACATTGAATACTTTGGCCTCAAAAATAAAGGTTTAAACAGGAATTGTGATTGGGAGGAGGCTAAAACACAGGCGCTCTTGTGCCTTCCACCATGCTGCCGCGAGATTTATTTTATAATTTGTTGTATTTMATTTTATTTGGTTTTTTTTCCTTTAAAAGGAGCGCGTTGGTGCTGCTGACTCATCAGCTCTGGAGCCAGGCTCGCCCTATATCTGTGCTCTGTGTGCAACCCCACGACTCCCAAGCACATGGGATCCAAAAGCAGGGATGGCAGATGAAGGATCTGGGGGATGTCCCTGCCCACATGGAGATCTTCCCCTCCTCTCCCTCCCCAGGCAGGAAAAGTGGGAGCCAGTGTGGTGGAGGACACAGGGCAGGGTGGGAAGGGATGGGCACCTCCATGGGCAGCAGTTAAATCAGTTCAGAGTTAGAATTAAAACAAAAAAGTGTCTCCCTCCTCTTTCCTGCAAAATTCCTCTTGGAAGTGCCAATCCAAGCTSGTGGAAGAAAAATCGAGACTTTTACGTGCTGTGCTCGACACAGAGCAGCAGGTGAAGCCCTACTCTAGCAGAACCATACAGGAGAACTTCTACCAATCTCAGCGAGAGCCCTGCAGGCAGACAGCTTGCAGGGACAGGCTCGGGGAGTTTCAGGAAGCTTCAAAATTGAGTAAATAATAATAAGCAGAAATAAAATAATAAATCAGAAATGGGTTACCTGCTCTGAAGGAGCGGCTCTCATATTTCCTTCAAAAAAAAAAAAATTAAAAATAAACACAACAAAAACACCCACCGTGTTATTTACATTCCATTCAACTCACTGAAAAACCCAAACAAACAGAGGTCTCAGGTAACTTCCACTTTTTTTTTTTTTGATAAAAAAAAAGCTATTTTATATCGTGTTTTTCAATGGATGAATTAAAACACTTAATATATTGCTCGCACAAGTCTACACACGTAGGATATGCATATTCCCTCAAACACCACAACAAGTTAAAGCAACCATTTGTGGATCAGGCAGCGTGGAGATGCGAGGCCAGCAGCAGATCGGGGATCCTGTGCAGTCCCAGATCAGTGGGAGGATGGCACATGGGGACAGAGTGGTGGCAGCAGGACACCTCTGTCCCTGCACTGGGGAAGCTCTGGGGTGCTGGAACTCCTGCCTTGGGAGGGTTTTGCAGTTTGTGCTGCCAGGCTGCTGCTCGAGGATGAGGCTTCATGTTACAGCTTGAGCYGAATTCACAGCTGCCAACATCAAAAAGAAGTCCTGCTGCAGGCAATGTCCCTCTGCCCCTGCCCTCTGCGGTGTTTTCTGATCCCCACACAGGGCAGGCCGGTTCATGGGATGGACAACAGCCCACAGGAAAGAAAATAAAACACTTTTTTTTTTGGGCTGGGTTAATGCTCTGTTGGCTCCCTGCGTGATCCTGTGAATGTGGGTGGAGGAAGGTGGCGAGGGGACAGCAGGACTGTCCCGTTGTGACGGTGACAATCTGCTGGTTCAGCTGCAAGGGGGAAGCATATATGGATATAACCATATCCATATATGCTTCCGGGGGAACCATTTATGGATATAAATGCCTGGTTTGAAAGGATCCCTTTCAGCTGTGGCTGTAGGAACCAGCTCACCTCCCCGAGCTGGAGACTGGCTCTGTTCCTGCAGCCACGGGACACCCGGACAGGGCAGGAGATAAAAATCCTCGTCTYGCCCCTTGTGCAAACACTCTGCCCTGTCCCTGCCTGGCTGCCTGCACGGGCCACATCTTTGAGAGTGACCTTCTCGTGCTGGACTGCTCCTCTGTGAGCTGCTCTGATGGGACAGCAGGAGCTGCTGAGGCAGAGCAGCCGCCTTTGCCTCCTCTGTGACCCCACAAGAGCTGTGGCGCTGCTGCCTCCTGAATGGAGTACCAGAGCCACAGGGGCCGAGAGGAACAAACCCTGCCTGTTTTTGTGAAATCATAGATGCTGCTGCAAGATAAGGAGATGCAGGTGATCAGTTGATTTATTCCAATTTCCACGAGCTGGAAGCTGAGCCCTGCTGCCTGTCCCTGCTGGGAATACACAAACCAAACTCACGCTGCAGTGCCACTGCCTCATTTTTCCTCCTGGATCCAAATGAATTTTCAAGATACGAATTACTATTAATTTCTAGGTTCAATCCCTCGTGCCTAGTTGAAAGAGACTTGTTCACTTACCTTCCTGGCTGCTGGAAAAGGTTTTCCTGATCAGGGAGGTGGTGCGGCCACGCACTCCAGGCTCGGTGTCCTCTGCCTGTCTGCGGCTGGTGGGTCTTGCAAAACAAAACAGAAGCGATAGAAGGGGAGGGAGCAACGACTGCAGAGTTGGGGACAGACTGCAGAGCACAGCATAAAGCTGTTTTGTTTGTTTTCTATCTTTTCAAGCATACAGCAGCCTGTGTAATTTCCTGGCTGCAAACTGTGGTTCTTTTCTATCGGGTGCCCATAGGTTTGTTGACTGAGCGTCACTGGGATCGCTCATTCGGCCGTGCAGTCACTCCAGCACCATCCTGTCAGTCAGAGGTGRGGTATAAAGCTGGTGTTTTTTGGAGCAATGACAGTTTTGTCAAGCAGGACAGGCTGGGGATGTGCAGCAGGCACCAGGCACTGCTGGCAGCCCTGCACGGAGGAAGCTGGGTGCATGCCAGGAGAGGAGGATATCAGACCCAAAATACAGCACGGATTTTCTGCAATTTTTTTGCAGTTTAACCCTGTCCCCACACCACTTCCATCACTGAAATCCAAGTTTTGATGGACGTGCAGGGAGGAAAGCATCGGCTACGTGTTATGGAAAATGCAGGTGGATTTTTTTTTTTTTTTTAAATTTTTTTTTGTTTTGCTAGTCTTGGTTTCTTCACTCAGCATTAATCTCTGCTTACACAGGCATGTGGCAAGGCAATCCATCCCCAGTGCAGTGGAACTGGAAACCTGGAGGCCACTTTGTGCCATCTCGTCCCACAATCCACAACCTGCCAAGCTCTCAGTGAARTCCAAGGGAGCATTGCCTTCATCAAGAATGAGTCAAGTAGAGAAAATAAACAAAACATCCAATGCCAGGCCAAATGGGAACTCTTTAGGGAGGATTSTCAGCATCTGGGTGGCTTTTGCTCCTCTGTGGATTCAGTCACATTGGACTTGAGCAGTGTTTTACTCAAGGGTGGCTTTCAGGTGTAGCTGCGAGAATAAAAACAGGAACGCTTCTGTGCAGCAACCAATTTCTTCACCACCATAGTGTAAATCTCACGCTGCTTTGATAACTCAAAGAATACATTCCAGGCATAAAAAGCCCTTCATTACTGATGAGAACATAAATAATTAAAGAAAAAGCTCAGATTATCCCTTTGTCTTCCCGCTAGCGCTCGGGTGATAGCCATGCAAGCAGCTGGGCATATGGAAAGCAACTAAAAGCACCTCTCCTCATCAGCTTTCTGGAGACAGTTTTAAGCTGCAGTAATGCAACTCTCCCATCACTAAGCTTTATTGGTTCAGTGTAAGAAACTAAGAAACTTCATTGGAGRCCAGATTATGCTGGTTGCAAAAGCRGGGGGATTCTTCTGCTCTTCGACCCCATTATCTCCTCCGYAGTGTCTTGATCAGCTTTCTTACACACGGCCTGGGATTCTGCCGAGACCCACAAATTGCTTTTTTTGGCTGCCAAATTGCCATAACCCTTCTATTTTTATGTTTTAAAAGAGCTTAAAACCCTCCATCCTCTTTGAATGTGTCTTTAAAATTGACCAGTAGTGGGAGGATTTCRTGTATATCCGAAGGCTTAGAAGAAGATGTTACCTCTACTGAGCTTCTAGTTTTACAGTCAACAGACACGAAAAGCCCAGCGGGGATAAAAGGAACTTAACCAGTTCTGTCTAATGCATATAAATCTACCTAAGAGCTCAAGGCACTGGAAGTACTCAATGCACTGCATTTATCTGAGTCTAAGATACAGAAATGGGTCTTCAGCCCACATGCCACATGTCCCATTTTGATGCCAAGTTAATATGAATTAAGAGACTGAGATGAATAAACAAGGTCAGTCTGGGCTGGGCCAAGTTGAATCAATGTAAAATAATTGTCAGTATTTTCTGTCAGCAACGTTGGTTTATCTTGGCTCGGGGTTCTCGGCGCTATAGATTATAAAATGTTTTCAGTGGAACAGTTGGCAGACATTTTATTGATTTTTCTTTGTTTTGTGAATGCTGGAAAAATTTCCATTAAGTATACACGCCGTTCATGTGATGAAGCCAAATTGCTTTTTCAAACTTTTCTTTCTTCAAGTGTGCTAATGCGTTAATACATTAGCAATCTAATTTAATCAAGAGGACCTTTGTCTGGAATCAAGAGGCCGTGGAGCACACCTTGATGCATCTCCAGCACTTCAGGGCTCAGAAGAGTTAATTTTGTATTTTCAAGGTGCAGCATGCACCCTGACTGATCAACTTGCCCTTCTGATTTTGGTAATATTTTATCTCAGTTTTAGGGATGTAGGAACTGAGAGTGAAACTTTATATAAAGGCATCTATACCTGCCTGCTCTTGTGTTCTTGAGACACGTGGAGTTCCGGGGCTGAGCAGTGGAAAACCAGAAGGAAGAGAAGGAAGAAAAAAGAGRGAAGGCTGCAGCAACTGAGCTGAGCTGCTGGATCCCACTTCTAACAGGAATTTCCACTGCCACACCATCACATCCCTGCATCACACCTCTTAATAGAGTTACCTTGGAACTGAAAACCAGATAGAGCAGCTGGTAGGATTACACCTGGAGCTGGCAGACGTTGTTTCTCAGCCTACATTCCTGCTATTTTAAGACTGGGTTTGCTTCCTGGTTGAAGAGGACTTTTGAAAAAGGTGGAAGAACAAACAGAAGTGCCTTAACGGTGATGAACGCTCACTTTAATTGCATGGAACAGTCAAGTAGGAGTAAGAAATCCATTTAATGTTGTTTTTTTATGTGAAACAAAAAAGGGGATGCTGTGGTATAACTCTGATTCTGTCCCTCTATGCTGATTTAATAACCAATACGTGGAGATACGTGAATTAACACTTCATGAGGTTTGGTCAGTGATGCTCCAGATAYAAAATATTCAAACTTGTGTTGTATATTCTTGTGAGCTTACATAAAAACCTCGTAGAGAAGTAGGAATATGTGTATTTTGAAGTACACAATCAATAAGAAAGTTTTAYGATAAAATCACTGTGATGATTAAGACTTTTGCCTTTTATCCTAATCACCTATGCTACCTCGGTCCTGTGAGCAGCAGCATCCCAAATATTCTCCTCAAAGAAGGAGAAGTATCTCCTTCTGCTGATCAAAGTGCTTTCATAAACAGATAACAAGAATAAYGAGAGGACAAGAACCACCAGACTAAAACATAGCTGACACTTGGGAGAAGGCAATGGTCAATGCCAAATGTAAGCCAGAGGTGAGATCTTTATCTCACAAAATTTTCACCATGCTATGCATTGCTGGTGATATTTAACAGTCCTTTTTAAGTTAAAATGAAAGAAACCAGGAGGCAAATGAAGCCCTATTCTCTGCAATGTTGTCCTGGAATCTTTACTGCCCACAATTTTGTGTGTGTGTATGGCTCAGCAAGCTGACCACAGCTCACCATGGCAGCAACGCTATTGCTGCTCCCATAAAACACCATGGAGTTAAATCAAGAACAAGTTCTCAAAAATACAAGCCCTTGAGATTGTTTTATGAATGGTTATTTTGTTTCCAGCCCTTTCTGTCCATTTTCTGTTATTTTGTTTTCAGCGTTTTCTGTCCATTTTCTGTCTTCACCAGACTATGGTTTTCCTGGTTAARCAAAGGAGATGATGATGTGAAGAGTCAGCTGAAGTGATTTTTTAATCACTCAACCTGAAAACTGGACTCCAGTTATACACTTGGAGTTGTTAGGATCCTTGAAGAGCATCAGAAACAAGGTTTATGAAACAAGGTTTATGAAACAAGTGAGTCTTCACAGTGCCCTTGTTTGGGACTTCTGCCTGAGTGTAACTCATGAGATACGCCCCAGCTGTCCCAAAAGCTGAAATACAAAAAAGAATGAAGTGTGTGCTGGAGAGGAGCTTCCAGGAAGCTGAGTGAAATGCAGATTTGGGACAGCATCTGGGTGTGACAGGGGTGGTTGTGTTAGAAATGTAGGAATTGGTGCGACCAGCCGGTACAAAGATGTAAAGCCAAGGCAGATAATAAAAAACTCTGAAAGAAGAAAGAACAGCCATTGGATACTCCTGCTGAACAAGTCCAAAGTCCTGGTGTGGTGCCCTAGAGGAACTTAAAGAACCACTGCTGCCCAGAAGAAGCCAATTACAAACCCCTAAATCTCTGGTAATGCTGGAGCATCTTGGACAGGGAGATGAAACATCACAATCACTGCAGAACAGAGAACAGCCCTATTTATATAGGATCCCAACACTAAAATTTCTTTTCTTTACASAGATTTCTTCACATGGAGAAGTCTGATGCAGGCTTGGCAGAGGAACAGCTCTGTGAAGCTGGAGGCAAACCAAGCCACAGTGAGGTGCCTGTAACCATCTGTGGCTTTCTTTAAGCACAGGGAAGGAGYTGTTGGAGTCACCTGTGCCTCAGCAGGTGATCTTCCCAGCTGCCTGGTGTTGTCACAGGGAGTGCCTTYGAAACCTAAATTCTTGCTGGCAGGCTCCAAGCAGCTGTGGCCAGCCAGGGGAGCCGTGAGAAGTTTCCTTCCACAGATTGCAAGCGGCAACCAAAAACTCCGTCTTCTCCTGGTGGAGGTCGGCAAAATCTCTGGATGTCTGCAGGAGCTGATGCACGGCTGGGAGCTCGCTTTACACTCTCCAAACAAAAGACTTAGGAAATTCYAGAAGTTCCTGCAGCTCTGGTGACTGCAAGGAACCGCTCCCGAGGCTCAGCAGCTCACGGTGACCCACGCRGGGAGCTCAGGAGTCGGGGTAAAGCTGAGCTCTCAGCCTGAGACTCCTGACGGAGGCAGAYGTGGGACTGCCAGAAATGTGTGAGTCACAGCAAGCTCCAAAAGGGAAAAGGTGAGCAGGAGGGAGGGAGGACAGCGTGTTTATACCTTGGCATCAGAGGCGTGTTGGGATTAGTCTCTGCTGTTAAAGGAGCTCCTTTTTTTGGAGCTCCTCTCCAGACAATGTGGTCCCTTCCAGCATGGAGGGACCTTTATCATGTACCCACACCAATATGGTGCTATCTTCATCCCAAAAGTTAAGATRGAATGACTGTGCACTGTATTTTTAAAAGAAGGCCCCACCTCCAAACCCATTAGATGGCTCTGAAAGATTTAGAGCGTGGCCTGTACCCTAAAAGGTGTAGGCCGTGTATAAAATAAAAACTTGCTGGCAAAATGGGTATCACACTTCATACTGTAAAAGCTCAACATCACCATGGAAAGGGAGACAGAAAATTAGTTACCAGGTTTCCAGAAAGAGAAAGAAATGTGTGTTTTGCCCACATGAGCTGTGTGTTCWGCACAGTTAGGTACAAATGGTTGGGATGAATGAAATGTGGAACCTCAATGTTGTAAGCACATGGGATTTATGAAAAGCATTCCTATACATACAGCAGGCACAGAAAAAAGGTCCATTTATATTACACATTTATTTATTTACTGGGAACACATAACTGATTTCTTTTTCTTTTCTATCAAGAATGAACAAAGAAAAATAAGAGAAACAAAATGTTTTTTTAATATTTGCAAAAGAGCTGTTTCTTTCTAATTTCCTATCCCTTGCAGGATTGTACGCAAGGTTCACTAGCAACGAAAATGTTGGGAAAAACCCTGGTCACCAGAACTGTTGTTTCTCTCATAAAAGGTYCAAGGTTTTAATCAACTTTGGAAAAATGGCACTCTCAAAAGTTCATCCCAGGTATTCTGATCACAGARATCCATAAAGATTGTGCCAGGTTTTTAAAAGCTCTGTTCTTTGCCTGCAACTGTTAATTTSCTGAGTTTCCATTGCTCTATATCTCTTTTCTCCACATTCAGCAATCAAGGCTGCCTTTGCCCAAATGATTTAATTTGAGGATGGTTGTGCTGGTGTGTGTTAAAAGCTCGCAAACTCTTTGTGTTTCTGGAGATTTCTTGGTGTTCATGCCATGTCCTTTGGGTTTTTTTCTTAGTTCCTCCTTAGTGTCTTAATGTATTATTATATTTACAGTCAYGATGAAGACAACAACAGCAGTTGTCAGGAAGGTTCAGAATATCAAACATAAATTTCAAAATGATTCACAGCTCACCTGTGGGAGCTGCTCTGTGCTGGTGGTCTGTCAGCTGGGCCGGGAGCAGGCGGGTTGTGCTCTCCTCCCTGCTCTGGAGATTGGTCAATGACAGCTTCACAGGATGGCTCTTCTTCATCTGAGTGCCCCAAAAGCTCTGTTAAGATCAAGAATTGAGATATGGTATCACACTCAGGATGGAAGAACCAACTAAACTGCCAGCAGTTTGCCTTGGATGTGTGTAAGGACAAGGGTGTCCTCTCTCTCAGTGACCCCAACTGAATGGAAACCCAGATGCTTCTGCAGCTTTCACCCTCAGCTTTTCCCTCAAAAAGGAGACCAAGTAGCCAATAACCTGCAACAAGAAACACATCCAAGAGTTTTTGAAAGGCAGAGAGTGAGTATGTGCTGGCTTTAGTTAGCAAGGAGGAAATGCCTTCTCTAAATTGTCAACTACACAAGGTCCAGCTGGCTGCCAAAAGCTGCTGCACATGAGCATTTCCCTGCTGTCATAGGGATCAAAGTCTTCTCAATTGGACTAGTTCCCCAGAAGGGTATGTGYAACTCCTTCCTTTAAAAATAAAGACTTCCCTTAGCTTTGTTTTAAAATATTTTGGTTCACAATCAAGACCTGAAGTCTTCAGTAGTTGAAGCATGGGCATCCAATTAAAAAGTTCCAGTATGAGCCCTTTGGTAAAAGAAATTATTAAAAAATATCTGAATATCTGAATCACTTAAAAATATAGAGGAGGAATTACATATTCTAGGTGTGAGACTTCAAATAAATAAATAAAAAATTTAATCAAACTGCAGGCGAGCAGAGTTTGGATTAAGGAGGGGAAAAAAAATCCTGTTACAGATAAAGACTTTAAAAGATTTTTCTCAAAATCRTAAGACCCTTTTGCATTTTTTTTTCCTCTACTAATCCAGCTTTTCTCCCCTTGTTCTGTGCCTTCTTGGATCCTGTGTAAGCTAATCTGCATGGCAGATACCCATGGCCACGCTGTTGGTTTACATTTGGGCTGGAGACCCGGAACATTTGCTGGTTTAGGAGGGCAAATCTCCTCRTAAGCCTTTCTGAAWCCTAAAAATCCAACACCGTARGATTGYTGGGGACTATTCCCACCCTTCATGMTACTTAAATGCTCTTGGCATCTGTGGTGTGAGGGAGGGTGAAGTGTGGCAAGGTTTGGCTTTCCCAGGTGGATGATATTCTCTGTCTGTGTTTTCCCACACGTGGAGCAATGTGGGGAATAGTTGAAAACGGCCAACTCGGTCGAAGGCAGCACACCACACTGCAATAAATGAGGGTGCTAAACCAGCACTGGGGCTATTTCTCCTCCAGCCTAAATAAAAAAATTCAAAGAGATGTAAAAGCAGAGGAGAAAACAGGTATACGGGCAGTGCTTTACATCTCAGGAACTCAAGGCAAGTAAGGGAGTTTTCTCTGCAGAGTGAGAAGCCAAGAGAAGGAGGAGAGCGATATTGAGAACTTATAAAGGTTTGTGAGAAGCTGCTTTTCACATAAATGAAGAACATTGGGGAAGGGCTTAAACAAAATTCCTGTTGATGAGGGAAAAAAAAAATAATTCAGCAAAATCCATTGCAGATCTTGAGGCACAAACTTTGACAGCCTCTGCTTGGGAACACAGCTCACTGCTGTGCTTCCATCTGAAAAGGAGTCTGTGGTCCTAAAGAACCTCCCTCTTTCACTTGGCTTGTTAATAACCTCACTTAGTTTGTTAAGAAATAGAATATTAAACCTTTTGGTCTGCAAAATGTCAAAGCTCAGATGTACAGCTGTAATTAATTTTTCTTCTCTCTTTTTTACTTTTTCCACTTACTCAGTAACATCTAAAGCCCACACAACCGACCCCCTTTAAGTTGTAAACTTTCACCAATGCATGATGTCCATGACTTCTCCTGAGCCATCATTCCTGAGACCGACCCAGCTCCAAGGAGTGGTTGCATTTCAGAACATAAAACCCAGAGAGATGCTGAAAGAGGAGTGTGTATTGAGAAAAGAAACAAACTAGAATTGGGTCAACTTTGTCTTGCTCTCTTTCCATCACACTACAGATTTGTGATTTCTTGTCCTTGGTGAGAACTAGAGCTGAGAAAATCCCAGTCCTTACACCAATAATTTCAGAGCAACTCATGGATGTGGTGTTGGTGTTATCCAGCAGCTTTTTAATGAGGAGTGGGCTACARTTKGGAKGTYARAGCCCTTGTGGGCCATATTTCTAWTATATGAATGCTATGAGCAATTAAYTATAACACAGCCAGTGACTCTGATATTTTGTGCTGTGGATATAGCACAGCTACACCTTTGTTAAATGATGCTCCTGGATCCACAGGAATCTCATGGAAAACAGAGCAGCCCCTGTCATCTGCAAGCACAAAACCAAGGCAAGAGCAGCCTTCTCACCCATGGGAGCTCAAAGAGATTTCTCTGCACTTTCATATCTGAAATAAATATCTGAAACTAACCTCAAGTGATGAGCATGGAACCTACTGTGGTCTGGGGATAGAGCTGTAGTGTGGAATATTCGATAGGATCAGSTGCCAGGAGTGGCTCAAAGCCACAAAACCATCAGATAGGAGATACAAAGTGAAGAAATAAATATTTTTGTTGTGGGATATGTCCCCTGTGAGAAGCACTAAAGCAGGAAAAACAAACGCGCAAGGGACGCTGTTTAAACAACACAGCCCTTCCCAAACTAGAGGCAATTTTAATTTTTTTTAATTAAAAAGGAAAGGATTTTGGAACAATGCCATAAAGMTGGGAGAGGGTGGTGGTCCTCACATTTAGATGAGGGCTCTGCCTAGGGTTTGGTGCTTAACAGAGACCTGACTTTGTGCTAGCACTGCAGGGATCGCAAGTTTTACCTGAGATTTTTTTATTGAGTCTGGGATATTCCTTTGGTTTATTGCACAATAAACTCTTGCTGTTTTACATTCTATCCTACTATTTGCCTAGGATCTGGGGATTTGAATCTGAATTTGAATTTTAAAAACTCGAGTGTTGTCATTGCAGTTAATGTTGTGGTTTCATCATTAAACTACTTTATCAGATGCAGTAATATTTTTTTTTGTGCTAAAAATATTTTTTAAAATCCCATTTGTTGCGATCAATATTGGGACAATATCACGTGCACCCAACCACACAATGCATATTCCTCATTTCCAAAATTTGGAGGTATTGCTACAWCTAATGCCTGTCTGAAAGAGCCAAGTATCTTTCTTTACTGAAAGTTTTCCTAAGCTTTAACGAGCAGGATGCTCTCTAGGTAATGCATGGCAGGTGATGAGAGATCCCACCTTCCCTGCTCACACATCTGTCATTATTTAATCAGATCTATTCCCTTTTTGAATCTCTGTCTGCAAATCGGGAGCTGTTCCCATTCTCCAGCATCCTCCTCTGGACTTCCAGGGATAAAAATGCATTTCCAAACCTGCAAATCCGTGGTAAAACGAAAATCTCCTTTCAATATTGTTTGCAAAATTGACAGCTCTACTTAACAGAAGCCATCAAATTATTTACAAAGTGGCAGCTGCTCTTGTAGCAGCCTTTTTTGGGCGTGAAAAATAAACTTAGTTGATAAGAGAGAGATAAACCATTTGACTTCCTCTTTCTGTGCCYGGCATGGTGCGCAGAGCCAATTCTGTGCAATCTGATGTTTACAGAGCAATCCTCGTGTACGACCTCCTTAGGCAACAGGGACACAAGGAGCCTTGAAAACGCTGAAGCAAGCATTTAATCAGAGCTCTTCATGCTGATCTTTGAAAAATTCAATAAGTTCAAAAAAATGTAACTCCTTCTAAAGATAAAATGTCACTTTTTTTGCTTCAGGAATTGCAAATACACCCCAATGAACTCCCTGTGAACCACGCAGACTTCAGCCACATTGCTGTTTTGCTAAAAAAAGGAGGTAAATAGTAACATTTTTCTGAGAGAAACAAATCAAACATCTGAAGAAGTGCAAATAGTTAATTCAAGTGAGTGCTGTAAAACAGTAGTTTGCTAACAATCACTCTTCTTTTTTGTTTAGGCATTTAAATAAAT